AGCCCTGCTGCCCCCGTCCAGCCCTGCTTCCCACAGCTGATTCTCCCATCCTCCTCCTCCTGATCTCCCCCCACCAGCTCCCCCTACCGTCGTGCAGCCCTGGTTCCACAGCCTGCCCTCTCCGACCCCCCCCCCCGGACAGCCCTGCTACCCCCAACCCTGCTTCCTCTGCCCGCCCGCCCACATGCCCGGATCTCCACGGGACAGCCCCACTCCCCCAGTCCTGCTTTCACTGCCTGCATCTGTGCGGGACAGCCCTGCAGCCCCCAGCCCTGCTTTCGCCGCCCACCTGCCCAGATCTCTGCGGGACAGACCCGCCACTCCCAGCCCTGCTTTGGCCCCCCGCCTGCCTGCCCGGATCTCCACCAAGACAGCCCTGCTGCCCCCAGCACTGCTTCCCGGCGGCCGGTTCCTCCCCCCCTCCTCTCAGCCCGCCCCTCTCTGCTCCCCTCCTGGATGCCATGCTGAGGTCCGGTACCGGGCCGCGGCCCATAGTTTAGGAAACACTGTTCTACAGTTTAAGTGCTTGACCCAAACTCCACTGACATCAATCATCAATGCAAGGTTTTCCATACCAATGGGCTTCAGATCCAGATCTTATATAGGTGAGTGCAGAACCTAACAGAACAGGAGCAGGATGTGGGGAGCCAAGACAGACTGTAACTTGCTAATAGCGAGAACATGATCATTCGGAAGAGGCCAAAGCACAGACAGGATTTAGGGATGTGAAAGGTTAACTAGTTAACCAGTAACTGGTGGGGGCTGGAGCTTGCCACAGGCATAGGGCTACTTCATCAGCCCCTGTCTGTGGCAGGCCCAGGCACCCCATAGGCCAGGGCTGCTCTAGCATGGGCTGGAAACTGGCAGGAGCCCCAGCCACAGCGTGGGGCTAGGAGCCAGCAGCTAGCCCCATTGTGGGGGTGCAGGCAAAAACCCCTCAGTCTGGGGGGCTGCTCCAGCTGGGATGGAGTGGTCCCCAGCCTGGATCCCACTTAGTTGTTAACTGGTTAAACATTAAGTCCATCTAACATTTAACCAGTCAACTGATTAACCGGGATTTTACATCCCTAGCAGGATTAATGCTCTAAAACAGATATACCGCTTGTTCTACCTGAGAGACCATACAGGACCAGATCTAAATGATTAAAGCTCAGGTCAGTGAATCAGAATTGCTGGGTTCTGTTCAAAGCTCTGTCATTGGTTTATTATGCGCCCAGTCCTGTATGGTTCTGGGTACCTAATGACAAGAGTTTTGTATCATCGGCTGCAACTGTAATTAATAGGATCAGAGAGCACCTGACTGAAGGATCACAGTCCCATGTGACCAAGGGTAAATAATTATTCTTGCTTTTTAGCTTGTCCCTCTGCAAACAACAACAACAAAAATTTACCTACTGCTTCTATCGGGGACAGGAGCTTCCTCATTTAATCATGCCTGCAAACCACTTGGAAATCATTGGACGAAATGTACATAAAAAGATTACTAATTTAGTTCCTCTCAACCCAAAGCAATGTCATCCTATGGAATATTTCCTGCAATTTGAAAGAAAGCTTTTTCTGGTAGCAGTGAGCTCCAAATACTGCAAATAAACAAAAAATTGCATTAAAATACATTTCCTCCGTGGCTGACAAACTAAGAGTTCTGTCTTCCAACCTAAATGGTAAACTGAGGCACCCTAATATGTTTGTAGCACCATGTTAGACTTTGTCCCCCTCTTCTGGCCGGAACATGGAAAGCAATTTATGAACCTGCCCAAAACTCAAGCACTCTCTTAATTGCCAGAGGGCTACAAAGCAACTCAGATTCCTATGTGTCACCACTTGTGTTATAACTCCTTGGGCAGGTCTACACACACACACACACACACACACACACAAATGCAGGACTCCATTGCTCTGCATCCATGGATGGGGAAATTGGCAGAACAGTAATAAACAAGGGGGAGGTATCTTTTAATCCCTAGTGGATGCATCTGTGAGTGTAGCTGGAGAAGAGGAGGAAGGGGAAGGGCAGATTGGTTCCACCTTCAGCAATATGCCTCCTGATTTTGAGTGCAGCTATACAAACAGTACAGTCTGCCAGCAGTTCTTACCTTCTTCCCTCTGCTCAGGCTCTGCTCCTTATTTCCACCGCTAGCTCAGCCTCCCATCCTCACAACACAGAAAATGACTGTCCCTCTCACAACTTTGCACCTTTTGTGCTCGTCTCCTGCTGACTCCCCATCCCACCCCTAGTTCTACACTTTCTCTGCCCAAAAGTCTACTTTGTTTTCCTTGTCAAGCAGACTTGATTCTGCCCTCTTCTCCCCACGCCCATGTCATCCTTCTGATGCTCCTCATTTCAGCACCCAACAGACTCTGTGTCACTCCCCAGTGATCATGGTGGAACTTTCTTTTCCATCTTTCAGCACCTTCTGCTGCCCCCCTCCTACAGCAAGAGGTCAAGGGAAAAGCTTTGCCCCATACTGCAGAGTTATACCTGGATGGCACTGCAGCTGGGAGACCAGGAGGAAATGTGTGCTAGCCCTCTAGCCCATGACGTGTCCACACATGGATTTTCCCAGAGGAGCACTGGGTGTTCATCTGCCATCAGAATGGGCACAGCTTGAGAAGCTAGCTGGAAGAGAATGGAATAGAACATTCTGCCCGCGGGCCAGGTTTCGTTCAGATACAAAATGTGGCCTGGAACCTTTCAGAGTGGCCCAATCTCCTTCTACTGAGACAAATGGTCAAATGTACTATGTGGTGACACTACAGTGTTATCTCCTTGATGACTGCACATAGAAATGAGGAGGAAGCATCTTTGTGTATTTTTTATCTTCTACTTCAGCATACTCTCCTAGCCTGGAATCAAACAGTTAATTTAATGTGACTGAGATATGCTTAAAATACAGAGCAAAAACAATTTTCTTCAAAAGTTGGTCCAGACATTGGCTCTTTTCTGCCTCACGGTACAGCCCAATCAAATCATTGCAGATGGTCTCTAACCTTTGCAAGCCAGGGGACTAGGCTATGCTTGCCTCTCTGAGACAAAGCCCATCAATCTCATCCCTGAACCAAGCCATTCCTCCGCCTCCCACACAAACGAAAGAGCAAGCCTCCCCAAAGAGGATGCTATAGTACATATCCTTATTTTCTTTGCCCTGTCCTTGGCCCTCCATGAAAGACACGGCAACGAATATCCATTTTCTATGCCGAGCTGACTGGTTTTCAATAAGATTTTCTCCTTTGTTTTGTAATAGGGATCAAAACAATTGCTGCTCTCCTATTAGCTAAGGTTCCAACAAAGTCTTTTTTTGGATCTGTTTGTTACTTTGTTTTCTTGGGGACTGACATTTAATGTAATTGTTCTGACAATGGTCAGATCAGTATAACAAGACAAAAAGGACCTAGACTTCCACTGAAAGTAAAATATCTACTTTGTACCCTGGGATGTAATTTGCAACCCTGTCAATACAATGTGTTAATCCCATTATTTTGAAGATAAATAATTACCCATGGCAAAGAAGGGAATTCCCAGAAGTGTAGAGTTGTATTTTCCATCAGTAATGAAAAATATCCCTGCTGCAGTGACGCTGGAGATACAGATTGTGAGCACTCCCAATAGTCCCAGGAAAGGTTTGCCACGCAGACAGTCCTTCATGGAGCTTGAGAGGGTAGCAGTCAGTAGAATAAGCATCAGGCTCACCAAAATTTTGCCCCTGGCCAGGATGCTGGTCTTGTGGAAGTCCTTCCCCAGACTAAAGGATGCCAGCGAGTAGAGCTGCAGATCTTGGTAATCCAGCTGCAGTTTGTGCATCAGTTTGCAGAACTCACTCTCCCATCTTTCACCAATGACATCCTGGGCAAGAGAGCCATAGGTTTGGAGGTAGTAGGTGATCTGGATGGCTCTGGCTGACTTCACTCGTTGGTCCTTGCTGTTGGGCACCTCCATGACTCCACCAAGCTGGTGTCCAATAAAACTGCTCCTTCCATCCTAAAGAGAAAAGTGAAGGAGAAGCACGTGGTTATTAAGTGATAAAGGGACATATTTTTTTTACTGGGTTTTATAAATACACATAGTGATCAAAGCCCACTGGCCAATAGGAAGCTCTCCATCCACTTCATTGCGTTTTAGATCAGGCCCCTGCTCTTTACAACAACTCTGTCTTATTTAATCATAGTAGACCCATTTGTAATTCCAGACTGCAGTTAAGGGACTGCCAGGTATTAATCATACCCCCAAATGTTTAAGGATTAAAACATAACATGCAAGCACCTCACTCATAGAAGCTGATGTTAGCTTTTCCAGATTTAAAACAAGCACCAACAACAACATTTCCAGTCACTGACATATGGCTAATTTGAAAAGATCAATTTCTGAAACACTTGTGGTGTCCTGCCATTCTGACATTGCTCTTAAAAATAAAATAGAAATGTTTACAGAAAATTAGTTCTGATTCTGATCTGTTACCCAGATGTGCATTTGGAGTGACTCCACTGAGTTTCATACAATTACTCTAAGTTTACACTGATATAACAGAGATCAGAATTTATTAACCTATTTGCATCAGTGGAACCCAAATCAGAATTTCTACTTTAGTCCATTATGTTGGATAGTTCTTTTGTGTGTTTGGAAAGTATGGGCCTTATTCTGGTGTCCTATCACAGTTTAAATCAGGAGGTCAGTGGAGTTACACTACTGTGAAACTGCTTCTTTCTGTTTCCTATAAAAATATCAATCAATGAGTCCACAAAGCAAGCAAGGAGACTTTCTGAACCACAGGTGTGTTCTCAGATGGCTGCTCCTACATTCAATAAATATCAGGAATTCAGAGATAAGGTTGAAATTCAGTCACATACGAGTTGTCGCACCTGTGTTCTGCGGTAGTCCTCCACTAGAGAACCTACTGACGTGGCAAGGCCATGAGGTAGGGACTCAATTATAATTGCTTGCCAGCTTCTAAAATCATCCAAGGCCATCCTGGCAAATGTTACATGAGCAGGGATGGCAGGACACAAAGGGGCAAGCTCAGGCAGCTTTTTCATTCTTGACTGTGAATACCCTTGTTTGTATCTTTTCAGATCAGACATTTTATTTTAATGTTATTTTATTTTATTGAGGAGGATGATACCCAGGATTTGCAAATAACCACACTGGGGGTATGTCTACACTGCAAAGCTACTTCGGGATACCGGAAGTATCCTGAAATAGCTACTCTGCATCTAGTGAAGCAGCCTGTTATTTCAAAATAGATTTTGAAATAACAGGCAGCTTATTCTGATGCCCTGATAACCCTCAGGTTAAGGGGAATTTCGGAATAGAGAGTTATTTCAAAATTTGGCACCACCTACACAGCATCAAACTATGAAATGAGCTATTTTGAGCTAAGGATGCTGTGTAGACGCATCCTGGGTAAGATTCTAAATTATATTTAAAGAGCTAGCAATGCAGATTCCATTAGCATCTGATAAGGCAGCATGCTTGAAAATCTTTCTTGCACCACTTAAAACATTTAGGCTATGTCTACACTCGCGGCTTCTTGCACAAGCATGGCTGTTCTTGCGCAAGAATCCGCAGAGTGTCCACACAGCCCGCCCGCTCTTGCGCAAGGAAATTTACAGTACGGCGTGGTAAGAGATGGCTTCTTGCGCAAGCACTACGCTCTTTTTTAACAGGTGTAAGCCCTCGTGCGCAGGAACTCTTGCACAAGAGAGCAGTGTGGCCGCTCGGCAGGGATTGAGTCCCTGCCTTGCACAAGAAAGCCCTATGGCTAAACTGGCCGTCAGCGCTTTCTACGCAAGAGAGCGTCCACGCTGCCATGGGAGCTCTTGCGCAAAAGCACAGCGTGCACATGGCAGTCTGGATGTTTTCTTGCGCTAGACTTCTTGCAGAAGAAACCTTGCGCAAGAAGTTCTTGCGTAAGAAGCCGCGAGTATAGACATAGATTTAAGGACAAATGTCATACATGATCATATATATGCTGTGTTGATATGCAAATGTTTTCTGTTGCAGCAGGACACTCCAGCAGTACAGCCTAAAACAACTACTGAAGACAAGGTATTGCAATTTAGATTCCATTGATTTACTATGCAGCATGCACTGCAAGGTTACTGAAAACTTTCAGATAGCCATCTTTCAGTGAAAGGTAGCATTCTGAATGAAGAAACAGTACAGGCACAAATAAATCATGCTCTACAGTATCTTCCATAAAATGGAAGATAATGGCTATTTGTTACATTAATGTACTGTAGGATATCCCAACCCATATGTCATCAAAATATAGAGAGATCCTTCAGATGGTATTATTGAAATCAGAGACACCTTTAAAGGCATTTGTCCACCTCCTCCTTGACAATGCAAAACTGATTCATACAGAATCAAGTGTTTGGTCCTGTCTGTTTTTATAGGATGTAAATAATGAGGCTTCCATTACTGCCCTTGAGAAATGGCTCCATATTCTAATACACCTCATTATTATGTATTTGTATTCTGGTACTGCCTACATGCTCCAGGTGAGATCAGGGTTCCACTGAGCTAGGATGCTGTTTGAACACATAGTGAAAGTGATTCACCGCTCACAGTTTCAGACAAAGATGGAAGGAGGGGGAAGGCAATATTGTTATCCTCTTTTTACAGATGGTCACCCGAGGCAGAGTGTTTAAGTGATTTGCCAAAATTCATACAGGAATTCTATCGCAAAGATGGGTCTTGAATCCAGATCTCCTGAGTCTCACGCAAAATCTTTAACCAAAAGATCATCCTTCCAAAAGTCATTGCTAGTACATACTGTATTTCTGACATGCACCTACATCATGCTATTCCTAATTTTATGCCAGTTGTTTATGGTTTCAGACTATAATTCCCCCACGTAAATTCTCTTACATTTATCAGGGCACATTTAATTGCCATTTCCTGCTCATATTGCTCATGAAAATAAAAACATAATACTTAGCCATTGTGTAGCACTTTCCACCCAGGGATCTCAATGAGCTTTATAGAGGGAGATAATAATTATTAGCCCTGCTTCACTAATGGGGAAAGAGGTAAAATGTGTCTTTTCCAAGGCCTCTGGCAGGGCAGAGACGAGAACTCAGCTCTCCTGTCTACCATGGCCAGGGCTCTGTCCACTTGCCCCTCCTCTTTTGACCACCTTTCTTCAGCTCCTTGTAAGCCCTTGTGAAGCTGAGAAGGGGAACACTGGAGGAATGAAAGCAGGCCCGCTAGTGGGAGAGAAAGGGGTGGGGCAAAGAGGGAAATTACTCTAGGGTCTGATGATTCTAAAGGACCCAGAGCTCCGGGCCCTTTAGAATCATTGTGGGAGCACTGTGCAGTGTGATGCAGACTCCCGCATTGCTCACTCCAGACGGCTCTGAGGGCAGGCGGGGGTGTTGCCACGCCATCCGAGCGGCATGGAGGGGCTGGCCGTACTGACTCTGCCCCTTCTACCTGAGACCTCACCGCTTCTGGCCCCACCCTATTGCCCAAGGGTCTGGCTTTTACCGTTATTTTCTATGTAGGTCAGTTGTCTGTGTGGAAGTTTTGAGAGAGAAAGCATCTCAGTGAATCTTTTATAAATTTATTAAAAAGACTAAGTAAGCAGTTCCAGAACACACAAAATAGGTCACTAGCTAATCTAGCAGTTTTCCTAACCTAATTTACAATCGTACTATGCAACAGCCAGATTAAGGTTTAATTAAAACACAATCAATAAGTCAATGATTCAATTTATCTGTCTCACCAATTACTACAATTAGTAACTAAATAAAATTATAATTAACAAGATAAGAAAAACAATTCTCTGAATGTCTTGAAGGAAGGCTAGAAGGAGAAGCATTTCCTTTTGATTTAAGCTATTTGCTAAGAGTCTTGCTAAAGGCAGATGCTCTTCCTTGCCTTAGGCTTTGTCTACACCGGCAAGTTTTGTTAAGGAAAAGTGCCTTTTGACGACAAAACTGCATGAGTTTTCATATTGCCATGTGAATTTTGTCAGATAAAATGCCCATTTCCCAGGATAAAAAACTTCTGGTGCTAATGAGGTTAACAGAGAAACTTGTAAGAGTAGAAAAAGAAGGAAGAGAGGGGGAAAATACCTGTCAATTTCAAAGTAGTCATTCTTCTACAAAGGAATTTCACAAGCCAACTAGAGAGAGAGTGTGGAATTGACTTCCATATGTAAATTTGATACTATTTCCCTTGACCTGAACAAAGACATGAACTAGATGGCCCATTATAAAACCAGCTTTCTTTACATTTAATACCTCATTAACATCAAATACTAAGTAGGGGGCACTTCCAGCTCACTTAATTAGCTTCATTAGCACCGCCACTACAGTTGACTAATTTTTTTCCCTTTCCTTTCTTTTTCTGTTATATATGTTGAGATTCCCCCTTTTTTTCTCCACTCAAGCTCAACTGAAGGGTTTTGCCCATGAAAGCTCATCATACTATATATATTTTTGTTAGACTTTAAAGTGCCACAGGATTACTCATTGTTTTTAAAGTAATCCTGGTCCCCGAGTTGCGAATGTTCAAGTTACAACCATTCGCATTTACGACTGAAGTGGTCGTAAATGTGGTCCCTGAGTTACAAATGTGATCTGCGCTTATGAATAGTGCGGTCACCATGTAACTCAATGGGGTCCAAGTTATGAACGCTTTGAGTTACGGCCAGGTGTTTGGTCCGTAACTCATTTGTAACTTGGGGAGAGGCTGTACTACCATGCCTACCCCCTCTCAGCTTACACTCAGCTATTGCCACCTCCTTCTCAACTAAGAGGGCATCTCTCATTCTGGTTTCCTGGCACCAAAGGTTGGGGCCAGCTCAGCACACAGCTCCAGGAAGGTTGCTTTATGCATCAAAAAGTTTTGTTGCCACTGCTCTTCATCCCACACCAACATGATGGTGCAATCCCACCAATTTGTGTTAATTTCAAACATTCAAAAGCAATGATCTACTCTGTACAGATGCTCTGTGACTGCCAAATGCAAGGACA